CCGGCGCACAGGCCGAGCCTGCGGGAGGCCCGGCGGATGGCCCCGATCCCGCGCAAAGCGTTCGCCAGCCCGGCCCTGAGGGCGCTGGGCGCCGGCCTGGGCTCCTTTCCCGAGGGCTGCGCGGGCTTCGCCGCCTGCGTGCCCCGCTGCCGGGCGGCGCAGCTGTCAGGCAGGCTGGCGCAGCCCTGCGGGCCTCCCGGGCGCCTCCCGGGCGAGCATCGCCCTGCTTAGCGTGGCCCACAGCTCGCTGGAGCGAGCCTGGCCCGTGGGCACTGCCCCTCCCGTTCCCAGCCCCCCCCCAGCCACTGCCCCTGCCCCCCCGGCTCTCCCCCCCAGCCTGCCCTTCCCATCACCCGCCTTCCTGGCTCAGCCCACCCCGCCCGTCCCCTTTCCCTCCTCCAGTCAGCCTTGTCCCCGCTCCTGTCCCGGCCCCTCACGCCATCCCTGTGGCAACCACGAGCATTGCTGGGCAGCACTGATCTCCGTTCGGCCCCATGGGACCGGCCCCCTGGCCATAGGCGCAGGCTGCAGGGTGCTGGCCTAGTCCGGCGTTCACTGAACCAGGCAGCCGGGGACAGACGCAGATCTTTGCTGTGGTAACTGTGCAAGTGGCAGGGGCTCCTGCTGGCGTGGGGAGACCCCCGTTCTGCAGTGCTGATCAGAGCGGGAAATGGCCTGGCCTTCGTCCCACCCTGCCCCTAGGCAGGGCCCAAACACCTCCCGCTCTGCCTGTGAGCAGCTCCTAGACAGGGTGAGGCAGCTGGCCCTGCCCTGAGGGGGCTAGGACATGCTGTGCCTAGCCAGAGCGGTGGTTGGTGACAGCTGTATTGGGAGCATGGGGGCCTGATGCTCAGCGTCTCACCTGGGCCATGTTTGCTTCTGCAGGCCTGAATGAGGCAGGAGATGCCGTTTCTTGGCAGGCAAGCGGGTGGGCGGCCCGCATCCTCCAGCATGAGATGGACCACCTGCAGGGCATCCTGTACATTGACAAAATGGAGAGCCGGACCTTTGTGAACACACGCTGGATGGAGCTGAGTGCATGAGCCCCTCGCAGCTGAGGCTGCTGTGCCCAGATCAGGGGACTGGGTGCTGCATCATGGGCAGCTGGAGTGACCAGCTTGGGTTGTAATGGGGCGAGTCTTCTGCTCTGAGTGAGGGCCAGATGGATGCACTCAGAGCCTCTGGAGGGAGGAGGAAGCTCTCCCACTGACAGCAAGGAAAATAAATGTGTTGCGCAGCTCAGCTGCAGTCTGAGAGCCTGTGGCCAGGTCGGGGGCCAACCTTCCCCTTTCCCTCTGACACTATGGTTAACACTTTCTCCCTGCTGGGACCCGGAGCTGGCAGACTGGTGCATCTCCTGTGCTTCCCTAGCAGCCCCTGCCTGGGGCTGTCACCTGGCTGCACAGGGGAGTCCTGCCATACTGGTTCAGGTTTGCCCATCACTTGGAAGGGTAGTTTTATGATGTGCACCCCCAGGGACCACGCTGAGATTAACTTGTTTGCCCTTCTGTCAATGCACTGTGTGAAGCTCAGGCGTTAGGGGGAAAGGCCAGTGGATGGCGCCTTCCCTCCTGTCAGCAGGAATACTGTCTCCTCCTGCTGGGAGAGGTGGCTAGCAGGTACCACACCAGTGCTGGTGCCTGCAACCGGTTGCTACCCACAGTGCCAGGCCTCTGTAGCAGGGAAGGAACACGATCGCTGAGCCACAGGCCAGGGAGACTCATCCAGCTTTATTCCAGCAAATATAGAGAAAGTCTTTCACAATTCCAGCCAGGGTTCCTTTCCACCCCACGTGCCTCACCTCCTGCCACCCACGATCCCCTGCAAGGCCTTAGCAGGAGTTTTCTTCCCTACTGAGAAGCCAGACAGCAATTGAATGAAACACCCATGTTCCAGGAACAGGCCATCTTAGTGGAGAGCAGAGCTCTTCCCAAGAGCCACATCTGCTGCAGAGATTTCATTACAAGATGCTGCTCAAGAGCTGCACACGTTGAAAACAGCCCCCCGGAGTGCTAAGCTCCCATGTAAATCCAGCCCTCAGATGTGGACGGGGTGAGCCCCATTTCCCCAAGGCAGCCAGTGGCCAGCCCAGGGCACAGTGAGCTGGGTGGATGGGTTGGGAATTAAATTCAACTAAAAGGGCAACGTGAGACTATGGTCATGGAGCTAAAAGAAAAACATTCAGGTTACAAGTAGCCTATGGGCAAACACCAGCCGTGACAGCCCTGCTAGGCTAGCCCCTCTGCTGGGCAGCTCAGCAGCTCCGCATTGGGCGCTTTCCCTGCCCAAGCTGCACCCCCCCGCCAGCACCTCTCCAGTAGGCAGCCGTGCAAGCTGATCCACCCCCACAGCAACCTGCCTGGCTGGGGCCTGAGCTGAACCACCCAGGCACATAAGGCAGCAGCTTGGATACTGCAACCCCCTGACTAGGCAGCAGTAGGTGTGGCGGGGGGGGGGGGGTAGATGGAGGTGGGACATTAGTTAAGCACCGGATGCCTCAAGCTGATGCAGGGGCCTTGCGCCAGGCACCACCCCCACCTCCAGGCTGGCTACAAGCCTCCGAGAGGGACTGACAGTAAAACTGGCCCCAGAGGGTAGTGGGGTAGGAAGAGCAATTGCTGCTTTTCTCCTCCCCACTCCACCCCTTTAGTGGCACCCAAAGCTCTAGGAGATGTGCCAGATTTGGGCAGGGGTGCACCCTGTGTGGCTGAGGGAAGGGCCAGGGGTCAGTGGGGTTTGCTATGGGCCTAGACTTTGTCCCTGCCCGTGCTATAGCCAGCATGAGGTGGCATTAGCAGGGGCCAGCCTAAAACCCCTGCATTGGCAGTGGCAGGACCCAGACCTACAGCATGGTGCAGAGGAAAGTGCGTGGGCAGCACCCCTGTGCCTGTGGGGGAGGCCCCTCCCTCCCAAAAGGTTAACAGCCCCTCATCCTTCTCAGTGACTGGTGTGGTGGCTCCTCCAGGGTCACCCCAGAAACAGCCAACAGCAGCCAAGAACTCATGGCACTGAGGTGAGCACAGCCCTCAGGCTGCAGGACCCAGAACATGGCTTGGCTCCAGCAGCAGGCAACATGACTCCAGGGCCCTTACTGGGACAGGCCCGAGGCTTTGGCTCAGAAGCAGCATCACCCTGCCTGCTTTCACCAAGCCCAGCACATGGCAGCCCCTTAAGTCCTGCTCAGCATTGGCAGGAGGTACCGAAGTGCTTTAGAGACTCGTTCCCCCAGCCCTGCATTATCCCTGTTTTACAGAGCAGCAGCCCCAGCGCTCAGTCTAGACTCAGGAGTTCCTGGCTCCCAGTCCTGTGCTCGCAGTACTCAGTCCCCAGAGCCTGGGCCCAGCTTCCCGCAGATGGGGGTTAAAGCTTTCTCATGGCTGTCACCCCAGCCCTAGGCAGAATGGCTGGGGCCTTTCCACTTGCCCCTGGCTCACCTGGCCCCAGGAGGGGCAGGGAGTCTCACATTCCAAGGAGCTGGCTGCAGATCTGAGCACTTTGTGAGGACACAAGCTTTTGTGCTCCAGTCAGCTGATCTGCCAGGCCCCAGCGCTGTGAAGCAGGCCTCTTGTATGAGTGGTGCTCTGGGATCCTGCACACAAACAGCAGCACGGAGAGAACTGCCCCCATGAGCTCTGGAGCACGGCCACCACCCTGTTACTGCCAGCAATGCTGGCTACTCCAGCCCATCTGGCTCCCACCCAGTGAGTGCAGATAGGGGACTCCCACAAACAGGCTGCAGCCAGAGCACACAGCAGGTCACTGCAATAGGAGCAGAGATGGCCAGGGGGGTTGCTGTACCAGCCAGGGCGTGGAATTAGCTTATTAGGCTAACGAAGCTCCTCAGATCCAGCGCTGGGGCTTGGCATTTGAACACTCCTATGAGACGAGAATCAGGCGAAGTAGGACAGGGAAGCACAGCAGCCAAGGGGCTGCGGATTGTCACGCCCCTTTGGAGGACGTAGCCCTCAGATCTCCCCCTCCCCTTGACTGTTATGGAGCCACTCTTGCCCCACATCCACCCCTTCAATTCTTATGGGGATCCTCTAATGCCAGTAGGGTGGGAGGGTGAAGCTGAGTAGCCCTGAGCTCTGCGGCAGGGCCTGCCTTTGAGGGGCCTAGAACCCCAGCTCGCAGCAGGAACGAAGCCTTAGTAATCCAGGAATTGATGGGATTGGGGGCTGCAGCACACAGGAAAGCAAAGAGCAAGGCTCACAGAGGGGATGAAATACCAGCCTCCTGGGGCACTGTACAGCAGGCAGGAGAGGTCCCCCAGCCATGGAAAAGCAGCAAGCCGGGGAGGACTCCCTTGGACTTCTGTTGTGCAGAGCAGCTCCTTACTCCCTGTGTCAGCAGCACTGCGGACGAGAGATCTCCCTGCCATGAAGGGGTGCCAGGAGCAGACACCAGCTAGCCAAGGAGAGACACCACGGCTCTGCCCTGCTACAGCAGGGCCTAGCTCAGGGGTTCTCAAACGGGGGTTGCGACCCCCCAGGGGGTCACAAGGTTATTACATGGGGGGGTCTTGAGCTGTCAACCTTCACCCCAAACTCCGCTTTGCCTCCATCATTTATAAGGGTATTAAATATATAAAAAAAATTTCTTAATTTATGGGGGGGGAGGGGGAGAGACGGACACATGCAGAGGCTTGCTGTGTGAAAGGGGTCACCAGTAAAAAAGTTTGAGCCACTGGCCTAGCTGGAGACAAGGCAGCCTTCTGACCCCCCCATGTGCTGCAGAACCTGACCCTAGCTGTGCATCCAGATCCGTTTCCTGCTCGCAACATAACAGGCTGGGTAACGGGAGGGTGCCTCAGCACCTCTTCAGCGTGGGGCCATTTCAGTGGGGGAGCCTGGCACATGGGGCCTAGCCCAGGGGCTTTAGTCCTTCCACACTCTGAGGCAGAGGAGGGTTACACCCCGCACGGCTGGCCTCTTGGTCAGTGCGATCAGTGCATCGGCATGTGGGCTCAGCTGCCCTAGGAAAGTCCTGTTTCGGCTGGCGAAGCTTTTGGATCGTTTTTATTTTTGTATAAACAAGACAAAACAAGCAGCATTAATTTAAAAAAATTTTAAAAAAAAAAGAAAAAAGCGGGAAGGAGAGTTGGGGGGGCGGGACTGGGTGGCTCCTGGGCTCTGCTCAGCCCCTTCCATAGGCTGGCAGGGCAGTTCTGCTGCGTAACGTGCCAGCTGGGGGCCCACAGAGAGGTGGGTTTGTAGGAGCTGAACATTAGCCTCCCCTTGGCACCGTCCGCCTGCCAGCACGAGGGCTTTGCAAGCACAAACACTGCCGCTGCAAGGGGTGCCCTGCCAGCCCAGCCACCCCCACACACCCCACGGCAGAAGCTTTTAACCTTCCTGTCCAAAGTCCTCTGAGAATTTCTTCACCTTCAAGAGGTCCTCGGCGTTCACGGTGGGGCGGGTGGTGGCCAGCGAGCGCAGCATGTCTGACTGCAAACAAAGGGAGAGGGCAACTGAGGCCGAAGTGCAACATCAGAGTCTGCGTTGCTTTTACCTGGACACCCTCGGAAATCCTACCCAAGTTTCTGGTTGTGGGGGAGAAGCCCAGGTCTAAACACCCCAGCCCTAGCCCTAGCCAAGGCAGTGGAGCTAGTACCTTTCTGTCCTGAACAACAGGCATCTCCCTAGAGGGTCCCCCAGGGCAGGTGCGTGGAACGGAGGCCTGGGAGCCAGGACTCAGGTTCGATGCTGTTCCTGGTCTGACCTCCAGCTCCATGCATTCTCCAGTCTGTCCCTTGGGACGGCCATGCTTACTGACCTCCCAGGGGTCACAGGTGGAGAAGGACGCTTTCCTCTTCCAGCAGGCATAAATCACGAGGAGTCCGTGTCTGCTCTGTGGGTTCCCCTGCCCTCCCCACTCCAGCACATGACACTGCTGCCCTGGCCACCCTGCTGCCCCAGCTCTCAGCACAATAGAACAGTCAGGGAGAAAGACCCGGGGCTCTCAGCCAAGCATTCCAGATGGGACAGTTGCAGGAAGGCTGCAGGCAGAAGGAACAAGCAATCGCTCAGGGATGCCCACTGACCCTTTCAGCTACATGGGTTGACTCTGAAGCCTAATGACGTCAAGGTGAATATTTTACACTGATCATTTCACCAGGAACATCCAGCTACTCTGGGACAGTGACTTTGACCAGGATAGCACCTCTTCTCCCAGCCCAGCAGGAAAGTGGTAGGGCAGAGCGAGGCTGTTTGCACCAGCAAGGGCTCTGCTGGCCTCAGGCGTATTGCACGCTGACTTGTGTCACTGGCCAAGTGATAGTCGCTCTCATCCCAGCCACCCTCTGGCCCAGCATGTCTGTTCCTAACGAATTACTTACCATGCAGATCACTGGCTCCAGCAGCTTGTCACTAGGCACCTCCATCCAAGTCATCTCAATGGCCCCAGGGTCTCCAGGCGAGCATGGGGTCAGGAGGTCATCTACGGTTATGCTGGGATTGGTTCGAGATGGGCCTCGCATCTGCAGCATGCCAGAGAGGAGGTGCACTGAGAGGGCAGATGCCAGGGCTGACTCCCCTACCACTCATGGGGGCCTCTGCCAGGGGCCCTTTGAGGCTGGCCTGGGGGACTCAGGAAGGATCTCAATGTGAGGGTGCAGTGCACACCCGGGTGGCCATGGAGCCCCCCTCCCTTGCAGGCCAGCGGCCCCAGACTTGGGTGCTGGAGCCCTAGGGGAGCGGCAGGTCCTGCACGCCTGCTCTCACCTTCTTGAAGTGCGTGGCCGACTGCACTTTGCGGACAGGCTGCATGAGAGCATCACGCACAATGATGCTGATGTCAGCTCCCGAGTAGCCGTCCGTCTTCCTGGCCAGCTCGTGGATGTTGGCCTCTGTCAGATGGTGTGATGTGTTTCCCAGGTGCAGCCTAAACATCTGGGCTCGGGCTGCCTCCTCCGGCAACGGGATGTAGATGCGCTTCTCAAACCTAGGCACCGACAATGGGCAGAGCAGGTGAGCGGCCGCCCTCATTCCTGCCAGCAGCGTGCGGTGCAGATCACCGCAGCACCGACAGGTTCCAGTAAGAGCTGCAGGCAGGCAGAGCGAGGGGCCTGGGCTGTTGGGTGGGGCTGGGGAGCGCTGAGGCACTCAGTAATGTTGGTGACAGACCTAAGCCTGCCCTGGGGCAGACCACACTGTGTTCTCTGGGCCACTCCCAGAAGGGGGTCAGTGGCTCCTGGCACATTCAGTGTGGCTGCCCTGAGCCAGGCAGAGGAGAGCAGCTCTGGCTGCTGGTTTCCAATAGCTCCCACTCACCTTCTCCTAATGGCCGAGTCTAAGACCCAGGGGATATTTGTGGCACCGAGGACCAGGGTCCCGTCATTGTTATGACCAACACCTACCAGGAAGAAGAAACAGCGATCAGGGAGCAGGCAGGACTGACTCCTCGGAGGGGCCGGAAGAGTGCCGGGGCTGGAGGGTGACAGTCAGGGCCAGATTAATCACCTGTGGGCCCCGGAGCCTGGACCATGGCCCCATCCCCATGCTCTGCTCTGTCCCCTGAGGCCCTGCCCACCACTCCCACAGGGTGGAGGGGGCAGAGGACAGTAGATGGGACCACAAGAGGAAGAGACAGAGTGGGGGTGGAGCCACTTCTGAGTCTGGGCCCAGCATCATTCCAAACCCAGTACTGCCAAGTCAGCCAGCTGCCAGTCCAAGACACACCCTTCGCCCAAGCACCCATCAAGGCTGCCCTCGGCAAAGGGAACGAGCAGGCTGAGGACTAGAGCAGCTCCTCGTTCTTCACTTCTCCAGGGCTGCTATGGCACCATCTGAGCCAGCCAGCCCCACAGTGAGTGCCAGCCGGGGCCGAGGAAGGGGTGAGTTCTGGGGGGCCAGAGCTCACTCGCCCCGAGCCAAGGCCCCACCCACCCTGCATCTGCACCAGGAACTCCGTCTTGATCCTGCGGCCAGCCTCGCTCTCGTTCTCATTCCGGGAGCCGCACAGAGAGTCAACCTCGTCAATGAAGATGATGGAGGGTTTGTGCTGCCTTGCCAGCTCAAAGAGATTCTTCACCAGCCTGGGGCAGAAAGACCTGGGGTCAGCGCTAACAGACAGGCAGCCTCCCCTCCAGCCCTGACCCTGCAACCCACACACGCCCCCTGAGCGGGAGAGCGAGGAGCAGCACCCTCGGGCTGCAGGCAGGGAACTCCCCTGACTGTCACTGCTTAGCTTGTTCTCATTTACCCCACTGCATCTGAAGTCACTTTCCTTGGGAGACACACTAGTGCCCGTGACAGGTGGGGCAGCCTCTGAGCAGCGCAGTCCAGCCGCTAACTTACTTCTCGCTCTCTCCCAGCCACTTCGACATCAGGTCCGAGGATGACACGGAGAAGAATGTGGAGTTGTTGGCCTCGGTTGCCACGGCCTTGGCCAGGTACGACTTCCCTGTGCCAGGGGGCCCAAAGAGCAGAATCCCACGCCATGGGGTGCGCTTACCTGCAACACATCACGCACTGAGCAGGGGCAGAGCTGGCCAGTTCACATGCACCTCGCTGCTCAGGGCTCTGCTAGGGCTGTTGGCCAAGGAAGTTTCTGGCTCTGCTCAGGCTGGGGCCTGTGGTACTCCAGATCCCAGGGCGTAGTCTCCGCATGGCACCAGAACTGGTACCACAGGGGCCACGGTCCCTCTGGGAGGGAGCAGCAGCCAATCCACCCTGCCCCCGCCTCACCCCCGAGAGTTACCGCAGCAACCCTCACCTGTGAATAAGTGGGGGAATTTAATGGGTAGAATCACAGCCTCCTTCAGAGCCTCCTTGGCGCCCTCCAGGCCAGCCACATCGTTCCACCGCACGTTGGGCTTCTCCATCACAATGGCCCCTGCAAGAGGAAGGCAGCTCTCCCTAGTGGGACAAGAGACGACAGCACTCCCGCCTAGGGGCTCGCCTGAGCCTCCCTCCCCGCACAGCGCCAGCTGCCAAACTCCATCCGCCCCAGCCAGGCTGTCATCACGCATGAGGGACATCTCCTTTTCGCTAGGGCTCACGAGGAGTCTCCAGTGCTGCCCAGCGGCCACAGACTTAGAGGAGGAGGCGGCCCCTCATCCTGCGCCAGGAGTGGCTCATCTATAGCCCCACAAACCCTGCACCAAGCAGCATGCGCCAGCTGCTTCCCAGGTCAGGAACTCCACCAGCAGGCCTTGCAGCGCAATGCCGTGCTCTCAGCCCCGGCGCTGGACTCTGCATTCAAGCCTCTTACCCATCAGCTGCTCCTGCAGCTTCTTCTTCTCCGGATTCTCGCCCTCGCTGTCACTGTCGCTCCTGTGGAGAGGATGTAGTCATGGTAAGGCCAGTGAAGCCCCAGGTCCCGCTATTGGGGGGAAGTGAGGATCTGGCCTGGCTGTGCCAGAAGGGTCGAAGCCTCACTGTGCTGGCTCTTGCCAGCCCCAACAGGAGACCCCAACGCTCACTCACAAACTACACAGTGTGGAGAGGGAGAAGTGCTGGTTTGAAACCCACTGCCAAAGTCTCTCCCAGGAGAAGAGGGGACACCCAGGGGTCTGGGGCTGGCCTCTCCCATTGTTACAGGGCAAGAGCATGTTTAGGGGGTGCAATGGAGACTGCACACATACCCCTTGCTATCATTTGGAGACTCTTTGACAGGCTTCTTGCTTTGTTTGTCTTTGTTGCGTAGATAATCCTTCAGCTTCTCTGCCCGGTCCAGGTACTGCATGCACTTCGCCCGGATGCTCTCCTTCGCCTTGTCACTGTGAGCCTCATCTGTCAGGGCACCCAAGACAGTGAGCAGCTCTCCATGGGCACGGAGTGAGGAGAGCCATACAGCACCCACCCGTTTAGGACCAGCAATGGGAAGAAGAGCTCTCTTCGGGGCCATGAGACACCACCAGCTCCCACCATGTGGGCAGCTGGAGTGAATCCACCAAGAGAAGCTGCCCCTAGAGACAGATGCAGCCAGGGGAAGCCCCACCTCCCTTTGGATAATCCTGCAACTTCAGGGTTTCTGAGCCCAGCTCTACAGTTAGATCATTCCCCAGAGAACACATGCACTCGTGGGAACTCTCAGCCTGCCATCTGGCTCTGCAACAGGTGCAGGCTGATCTCTTTGGGGATGCGCTATTCTGGGCAGGCCTGACTCCCAGCAGGGGGAAATGGGAAGAAGGATCCCAAGAGGAATAGCGAGGGAAAGATCTTACACAGGCCAGCAATGCAGGAGAGACGAGCCAGACTCACATTTGATGGCATGTAGAAAGTACTCCACTGCATGCTGGTACAGCCGCAGAGCCTCCTCATAGTTCTTGGCCTTATCCTCCTCAGTCGCTTTTGTTACCAGATCAATGGCTTTCTGCAAGGAGAAAGCACCGCTCCAATGACACAGTTGCCCCAGGGCACAGGAGAAGGAGCTATCAATGAAAGAATAAAGAGTTTCCCACAGAGGTAACAGGTTTTTGCACACCTCTGAGAAGCAGCAGCTGTGCCCAAAAGCTCCTGGCGCCTAGAGTCATCTCCTCTTTCTCATGTGAGCCTTCTGCTCACACACAGCAGACAAAACTCACAAGCAGCTCCTGGGCTGGACAAAGCCACCGATTTCAGAGAGCAAAAACCAAGCCCAGACCCTATCTCCATTTGCCAGGGCAGGGCAGCAGCTCCTGTGCCACTGTGACCTTTGACCAATGCCACCACCGAGCATGGGAAGGAGAAAGAGATGCACCCCTGGGGGCCTTGCAAGGAGAGCCCTGTCCACATACAGAAGATGTAGCACCTGTTTAGTGAAAGCAGGACAGCTCCCTTATGTGGACAGTTACCCTGGCATACATGTATTTGTACCATAGCTATTCTTGTACAGGAAGGGGGATACGCTGTCCGGTAACAGGCACCTTCACCTCACTATAGGGTTGCCCTGGTACAAGCGTTTTGGTAGAAAAGAAAGAAAGAAACAGCCCAACTCACACATGATACGAACACGGGGCGCAGACCTCCCACTGCCCACCGGCAGAGCGCTCAGTCAGCAAGAGTCACCCCAGAAGGCCAGGGGCTGGGCACCCGCTCTGGGGGAAGCTGAAGAAACAGCCCCTGCCCACAGCCCCTTCTCTCCAGGGCACGGCGACGCCCCCCAGGCGCTGGGAGAGGCTGGCGGGCCCCAGAGCAGGTGGCCAGGCGGCTCCGCGGAGGGGCACCGTACGCCGGGAGAGCCTGCTGCTGGCAGAGAGACCCGGTGCCAGGTCCCAGCAGGGCCAACGCCACACCGGGGCGCGGCTGCGAAAGGGCCCCGGCGCCTGGCCCGGTCCCAGGGCACCTTACCCAGGGCCAGTCCGCAGGCAATGGCTGCTGCCGGGCGCTGCCCTGCCCCCTGCGTGCCCAGGCCCCACGGATGCCGGCCAGGGGCATCTGCCCGCGGCCCACCCAGGAGCCGGAAAAGCCCCCCGCAGCCTGCACCCCACCCACGGCCCCTGGGGCTGTCGCGTCCCGGGGGCAGGACCCCTCGGCGGCCCCCCCCCCCCGGGCCCCAGGAGCCACAGGTTCTGCCGCGTGAGGAACCCACGGGCCGGCCGACACGGGCAACGGGGCCCGGGGGAGCGCGGGCGGGGGGGGCCCGGGGGGGCGCTGGGAAAGGCAGCGGGGCGGGGCGCGGGGGAGGCGGGCCGGAAAGGGGGGGCCTGGGGGGGCGCCGGGAAAGGCAGCGGGGCGCGGGGGAGGCGGGCCGGAAAGGGGGGGCCCGGGGGGGCGCCGGGAAAGGCAGCGGGGCGGGGCGCGGCGCGGGGGAGGCGGGCCGGGAAGGGGGGGCCCGGGGGGGGCGCCGGGAAAGGCAGCGGGGCGCGGGGGAGGCGGGCCGGAAAGGGGGGTCCCGGGGGGGGGGGTCCGGCCGGGCTGGGGAGGCGGCACAGGGCGGGCCGGGGCCGCGCTGGGGCCCGGTCGAGGCTGCCCGGGGCCTCCCCGCGGCCCGCAACGCGCGGCCTGGACACGGCGCGGGGGCCGCGGGGGCCGGGCCCGGCTCCCCGCCGCCCGCTACCTGCAGGGTTGACGTGGTCATTGCATCGCCGGTGCCGCCCGAGTCCCCGGGGCGCTGCGAGCGGCCTGGATCCGGCTCCGGCGGGCGGCCCCGGGGCGGGCGGGAGGCGGCGGCGGCGAACCGGGACCCACCGGCCGCGCAGCTGCGACGCGGGGAGCGAGAGCGGCGGGGCCCCCTGCAGGCCGCGCCGGGAACTGCAGCGAGCGCCGGGCGGGGCCCCGCCCCCCCCGAGCGCCCCCCAGCCCCTGGCACCCCAAAGCCTGCCCCCCTCCAAATAGACACCCCACCCCCACCCCCAGCAGGGAGACACCCGCATACCCCCCTCGCCCCACAGAGTCGGGCCCAGTCGCGCTCTGCAGGGCTTTGTTTTCTGTAGGTGCCTATGACCCCCTCATCCCCGCCCGCCCCCCCGAGGGATGGACCCAGCCCCCCCCGCACAGAGCCCCCCCTCCCAAGAGATGGACACAGCCCCCCGCCTTCCCCCAGCCTCTCCCAGAGTTTCAGTCTAAAGGAGCCATTAGCTCATCTCCTCTGATCTCCTGCGTTACAGGGGGCGAGTCACGTTCACACCCCGTTACCCCTGTGCTGAGCCCAGTAACTTGCGGCTGGCTAAAGCCCCCCCCCGAAAGTCGGCCTGGCGGATGCTGGAGATGGAGAACGTACTGCTTCCCTCGGGCGTTTGGTCCGGGGGCTAGTCTCCCTCCCGGCTCATACATCGAGCCTAACTTTTGTTTTCATTGGGTTGGCTTCCGCCCGGGGGTTTGTTACAGCTTCCTCTGCTACACAGCGCTTCAGGAGACAGCATCTTCTCTGGAGAAGAGATCACTGAGCCACGGTTTTCCCTTGGCAGGTCCCTGCGCGGGGAGGGAGGTTACCAGCCTCTTTGCTGACACAAAGAATCCCAGGCTTTGCACTCTGTTTCTAAAGTGGCATTGTTACCGCCTCATCGCTATCTGCCTTGAACCAGGAGAGCCCCCTCTAATGGACCGTGCTACCCCCACTTTGGCATTTGGCCGCTAGAATGCATACATCCATTCACACTCAGTCTTGGGGCTTTAATAACCATGTAGAGTCTAAGGGACACCACAGTGCCCTACCTTTCCTTTTCCCAGAGACAGAACTGCCCCGCCTTCAGTGGGTGAAACTTGCCTGGGCCCAGGTGATTGTCTGTACATGCAGGCCTTTCCATGGTAGGCAGGCTCTTCCATTGTTAAACCCTAACACTTTTCTGAATACTGCGTTGTCTGGGTGAGATTTCTTGCCACCTGGTACATCACAGCAACAAACAGATGCTTATTAGGCCATGGGCCTCTCAACAGAGCCCCATTCATCCAGGGCTGCTTTAAGGCATAGGTTCTGTAGGCCAATACCTAAGGTCCCAGCTCCTCCAATCATGTGCTTATGAGAGAATTTCAGCTTTAACAAAAAAACAAACACACACTTTCTTGCCCTCATGGGGGAGAAGAAAAGCTTGATGTAACTGATGCAGGGACAGTTCTCTGAGCCGGCAGAGAGCCCATGTTTCAAATGGGTGAATTGCCTCATGAATCTCAATGGGGCATGAACACCACACATCCACTGTTGTCCTGGGGGTTCTGCCAAGCCCCCTACCTGCCCCTCCAACACAGAACCGTGTGTGGCAGGAAAAGCAGAGGCTCCTGTTCTAGAATTAGGTGGTCTCCCTGGCTGCCAGCTTCCAGGAGTGCTGCACGACTGCATTGCTTGGTGTTTTGGGGTTTTTTTTGTTTGCTCCCCTAAGCTTGTGGCAGAGGAGGGTAGGGAGTAATGTTTTCCATCTTGACTGGCAAAACAGCGTCTCATATCCCAGACAAAACATGTTCCATAGAGAAAAAGCAACATAAAAATCTAAAAGCATAAAAGCCTTTATTATTATTTACAGTATAAAGGTTACACTTGCCCTTAAGTTACATTTTCATTGTAATGTACAATACTATACAGTTAACATGCAACTCAAGGGACAATAGGTTGTCTATGCATCTATATTTATAGAGTACACATAAAGCTTTAATGTGATTGTAGAATACACAAACTCCCCTGCTTTTCACCATTGGGTTATTTGGATTTGGTAACTTGGAAGTTCCAAAAGCGTGAGATTAAAAACCTCAAAAAAGGAAGAATCGTATAAATAGTGAACTACAAAGAATACAAAAATAGAAATGATTGCATGTTATTTTAGTTTTTCTATGGGAGTGTTACAGTCTGTGCCTTGACCATATCATATCAAATGGCATAGAGTTTGCACAGGTTAAAAAACAGTTTATTTGTAGTGGTTCTGTGCAATTTATTCTTCAGATGACCTGGGGCCAGTTATACTTACAGGGTTTTTGTCTTTCGCACCTGGGCCTTGTAATGCTCTATTTACCCAAATTGTAAACTTAACACTAATACACTGTAGTGAGATCCCCAACACTGGCTGATCCCAGACAGGCAGATATGCTACAAGGAAAATGGAACTCCACAAACATTGATGTGCCAAAGGATTTTTTTTTTTTTTTTAATTTTCTTTGGCAGAGATGTCACTGCAAATTAATTTATTTTAAAACCAGGTAGAACTAGCCCTGTAGTTCCCCCAAATTCTAGAACATGAAAGTGAAATCAATGTTTTGATGTACTGTGCTGCAGGCCAGGATACTGTCAGATCAGCAGCAGAAACAGAATTAACTCATGTAGCAAAATCCTGGCAGCATAAAGGCAAAGGCAGAGGTGGGCTGGCTGTAGAGAACGGTTACTTAGCCTTACACCAACCATGGTGCTTCAAGATGCTCTGTACGTGTGGATCCCATGAAACACGTGCACATCTGGAGCAGGATCCGCAGCCAGACTCAAAGAACATTTGCTTTTACTAGTTTCAAATCCATTTTCTTCATTGCTTATTATCTAATGCGAAGAGGCTACCGGCCTCCTTCTAAAGGAAAGCGTGGCATCGTTTCTACATGTGATCAGTGCTTAATTTTTGCCAGGGCTGAGCTCCAGCACCTCCGGGCTTGGTGCATCAGTTATGAAAGTAAAAAAACAGCTTGAGCCCTGGCACCTCTTTCATTACAAACTAAGCCCTGCATGCAATGTTGGCTCTCAGTTGTGTGAATTAGCCACAGAAATAGAAATGCTGTATTGGGAAAAGCACAAGCATCTGCAAAGATTTTGCAGAGTATTAACTCTGGGAGTCAATCCCACACGTGCTGTTTGAAGAGGAGCGGTTAGGAGGAATTGATTGATGAGAAGGGACTTTGACCAGTCTAAATTCCATTCCCTGATAGCTTTTAAAGTCTACACAGTTTGTGTAAGGTTTTGCAAGCACCATTCACTAGTTTAATTACACACCACCATATTGCCATCCAGGCTGATGGCCATATTTAAGACACTTGCCTGCTCTTATTCTGGAAAACACAAGCTCAGCATAGATATTCTCCTCTCCTCCCTCTGGTTTCCAAGGATAACCTGGGATGCCTCTCAGTAGCGTAGCTTCCATATGGAACGCTGTAACAGAGCTCTCCAGCTGCCGAGGCATGGGGCATTTTCCAGCTTTCCAACACACCGCCTCACTCAAAATCCAGAGGTTTGCACAGATTTGAGACAGGGCAGGAGCAGAGTCTCTTGCAGACATTCTGGAGCCCTTTCCCTCACTTACAGGGAACAGACAGGGCAAGCTCCCAGGAGTTTGTACATTTCCCCATGTCTCTACACAGGCTCTGGGAAGAGGGGAGTCTGCTGCCACCAGAAACAAATGAGGCCAGTTGAGGCACACAGTGGATGCCCACTGCAGATAAATCTGGTAACTCAACGCTGCTGGGGAGGAGCTGGGACACAGTGGGGGCTTGAGCATTAGAAATTCAGTCCGCAGAATAGGCTTTTAATACCAAATTAAAACATTAAAAACCTTAAAAGCTAAGAGGACCTGAGATTCCAGAGTAAGCGACAGCTCACAGCATTCCAGATGGGCATGCAGCATTCTGTAACAGGGCAGATATTTGGCATGAATGAAAGACAGCCCTGGGGAGAACTAGGCCAAGTGCAAACTGGCAAGTTTCCCCAAGTACCTCTGATCCGCAACAGACCTGAGCTTCCTTTCAGTGGACACTCATGCTCACGCGAATGAGAAGATGGGTCTGGTTTGGACACAGGTTCTCTGGGGACTAGGCTGAGAGATCTCAGGGGCTTCTCTGGTGAAGCAAGTCAGGATCGAATTCAGGCTTTGTGGCAAAAGGCTCAAAAAAGTGATTGCTTAAACAGGACAGAATGTAATTCCTAACACAGCGAAGCCTGGGAAGGAACCTGGGTCTGTTGGGAGACAGTTCCAGGCTGGCAGCACGAGCCTTTCTGCACATTAACTATACCATGTCTGATGCAAAGGGGAAGACAGACCATACTGTACTTCACTCCAGCTGGCCGTGCACAAGGGCACCAGCTCAGCCTGTAGTGGGCGGTTATGACAAGGGAGGTACTAAGTACTCCCCCACCTCCCACAAAAATCGAAATGAGTGAAAGTAACCTCCTGTTAAGCCAAGCATGCATCACGTGCAATTCGATTTGGTGTCTACTCTGGACATTTCAGTTGCCACCTCAACCAGAGCTTTGCTAGTGAGAGGCAATTTGGGAAGAGTTCACCTCACTGACAGCAAGGCATTTACACTGAAGTTTTGCACAGATCATGAGCAGTACTGACAATCAGTGACTACCACCAGAGCTTAAAATAGCAACCACTCAACCTTAAGTGTCAGAGCAAAATAAAAAAGCAGAGAAAGTGCTTAAGTCTATAAGTCCTTCCCTGAAATTCTCAGGGATAGCTAACCCCTTGAAATCAGCCAGGGCACAACAGAATTTGCATAGCAGCTTATTAGGTAATTTGCAGAACAAAGGAATAATATGGGGGGAAGGGGAGGCTGTCCCATTTTATGTGATATACTGACACTTCTCACACTTCTAGTAATTATACAACAGGGGTGAATATTCCCCTGCTGATGGACCCCACCTTTACCCTCGGAAACCTGGTTCCTAGCAAGCCATGTTTTCCTGGGAGAAGGAGGGACCTTGTCCAGAATTCCAATTTAAGTTGACTTGTGGCTTTTGGTAAGAGACCAAACTGGCCTAGGCTCTAAATGTAAAAATATTCTAGATGCTTTACAGCCACCAGTGTGGTGAAGCTGCAGATTAAAAAAAACAGGACATTTAGATAAGAAAGTAGTCTAACATGGAGTACTTGTGGCACCTTAGAGACTAACCAATTTATTTGAGCATAAGCTTTCGTGAGCTGTAGCTACATGAAAGCTTATGCCACAAGTACTCCTTTTCTTTTTGCAAATACAGACTAACACGGCTGTTACCATGTTAGACTAGTTTCAGAGTAACAGCTTCATCACCTTGTGGAGTTGAATATTTCTTTATGGGTTGGCTAAGAAACTGAGGCTTCAGTTTACTGTCCCTGCAGTAGATTTTTCAGCATGCAGACTCTGTGCTTTCCAGCACTCGCTGTACTGATGGGACAAACCCCAACCATACTAGAGCTAAAATATCCACTTTAAGAGCAGATAAAATAGATTGAAGAGCTTAACGGCCTTGCGTGGAAATGACAGCTCTTCAGGTTGGTCCACAGAACGGATAACAGTCTGTTGGGTGAACACAAACCTATCCAAACCAGAACTGTGCGGGAACTTACACTTTATATTTACCTTATATTCACTCCATAAACTCCAATCAGCTAAGACACTATTCTAAGTATTTTATAACCTGGCATGATTTGTTGTTTAAACAAACATGTTTCAAATGAATTGTTTTTTGTTGGTTCCTAAAACAGCATTTGGAAATGAGCTGCTAGGCATCGGGCATAAGCCACATGGTTGTGAGGGGCCTGTGAACAACACTCCCTCCCTAGGGTTTCAGCAGGCTGCTGCGCTGGCAGGACACTCTGGTCAAATCAGCTTTGCTTCACCCCTCACTTAAAGGAAGCGTGCCCTCCAGGATCACTGCTTCACACACTGCGAGCCCGTTCTGGAGAAGGCCGGGCTCGAGGAGGCATCCTCTCGGGTTCATCTTCAAATGTTTTGTGCTGTGAATTCTCACCTTAAGTCAAGCAGTTGATCTGTGCCACTAAGGAGATGGTCTGTAGAAGGGCTACCGTACCGGCCTGCAGATGGAGTGCGTGTCCCACAAGGCTCTGGCCAGTCTTGGAGAGCTCAGCACACTGGTAACTTGACAAGCTGAATCCCAGGAGTTAATCCTGAGCAACCTACACTAGGAATCGAATGCTCACAACCGTGAGTGCTAGAGAAGCTCCAAGGAAGCAGGCAGAGCCTCAAAGGACGGTCCAAGCCACCTGTCGTGTGCATACAGTGGAGCTCCTGGAGTCCCTGCCCCCCATCTCTGGGTGTCCCAGCTCTTCCCAAGCATGAGAGAAAACAGGAATCTAGGAAGAGAGCTGGCGGGTGCAGGCACCGCTGAAGGTCTGGGTTACGCAGTGAAATCTGTTTCTCAGAGTTTTGAGCCAGGCTGCATTGCCAGGTGCCCTGAGTCCTGTTGGGAAGAGGTCAGTGATGTGCTGGGAGGGGGCTTCCAAAAGCCCTGTGTTAAAATACTGCCACCAGAGTGAAGGAAGCACTGCAATTTCCCTGCCTCTGGTGGATGAGCTGCCTCCCCTCAGCCCTGCAGATGCTTCAGAAGAGCTTCTTTAGGAATGGGATAGGCTGTGCCAACGACAGGTATTGCAAGCATTCACACAGCTGTGAGGCTCGAAAGCTGGTCCCTCTCACTGACAGAAGTAGGTCCAATAAAAGATACTGTCCCCTGACCTGGTCTCCCAGGTATTTCAAAGTCACAGGCCCCTGTCACCCACACACTCTCTGCAGCCCACACACCTGGGCACATGGGCTTAGCACAGGCTGAGGGAGACAAGCAGCCCAGCACCAGGAAAGGAGAGAGGATGCTGCTAGGGTCTCAGAAGAAAGTTGCCAGGCCCAGATGCTGTGTGCATCACTATATGGGCATCAGCTGCTTTATGCATTCCAGCTCATTTCAGAACACGCAGCCAGCTGGCTTTTCTGTGCTACTGATCCAGCCAAGTGGCATCTGTCCTGTCGCATTTGACTACCGGGGGCCTCGGTAAGAAGCATCAATGAAAAGCACCATCTAAGTGCTCTGTATTCAGGATGTTACCAGGTGCCCAAAGGAAGTCAGAAAAGCGACTGAAATCTCCCTGATTATCCATCCCACTCAGCAAGGGGGATCTAAACCCACTGGCTAGTGAGAAGGGCAGGCCTCTTCCTTACCAAGGACCTCTGGGAAGGTGGCTTTGTGGCAACAGAGGGAGCCGGATCAGTCCTTCAGAGTTTCCATCTCTGACTCAGTGACTAGGGTCAGAAGCCCAGGGGAAGGGGCTACGTACTGCATACCGTCCCCCAATATTTATCAACTGCAAAAGGAAGAGGCAGGGATTCACCAGCTCTCAGAAGAGTCCCCCTCCCACCACGAGGAATCCTCACCAAACGATCCTGTGAGAGCTGCCACACAGCCGCAAGTCCATCTTTGTAATGACTCACTTCTCTCCAGAGGAGACCAGGCAGCTTGAAACGAACTGAGAGCAGGGGCTCATGGAGCACTCTTCCAGAGCGAACAGCACTGAACTCCCAGTCTCCTCATCCCCATCTCCAGTAAAGCACCACCCACCTTCAGCCAAAGGCACATTTGGTAAGCAATAAAAATGACTTCATACAGATTGGCTATAGTTCCTACCCTAACCAGCTCCCCCGCTCACAGCCCCATGACAACGGCTCTCTTCTTGCAGCAGATGAGTGCCGGGTGCTGGGCTTTACGTCGAGCCTTCGGGGTGACAATCGAATCCCAGGGGTGTCAGGAAGAAAAGTCTCTGAAATTGCCAACAGCCAGGAAGTGGCTGGAAAGGGAGAATGCCAGAACTGTGTCTCCCCAGATCTCAGTATTCAGCTACCAGCTGCAGCCTGGCCTAGGCATCATCTAGTCAGGTAGAGCAGTTATTCCAGGGGATTGTGGAGAGGCTGGAATTTCTGGCTATGGCTCTAAGGACAGCAGGAGCTTCCTTCCACACCATCATGGTTCTGACATGAGTCAGTCTTTGTCAAGGCACTGGTACTGCAGGAGGACACCACAAACTAGGGTCTTTTGTGCTTTTTTGCTGCTGGGACAGTAGATGTGTTGTTCAGAACTGTTGGGACCCTTCACCTCTTACACAAGCAGTCCCATACGGGTGACTTTGGCTGACAAGAAAGTGTGCAACACAAAAACAATGGGTTTGGGACAGGAGTGCAGGTCCAGGGTCTGGAGAGAAAGCACAAGAGACTCCGTCAGTCCCACACATAGCACAGGGCTATCCTTGAGGCAGAAGAGACACTATACAGATTGCAAGCAAACCACCCCAAGACAGAGACAGCAGCCTGGGTGCTCATTGGCAAGGTGTTCAGCTCCCACTCAACAACAGAGACTAATGGTTACAAAGAGCTTCTCACACAGCAGGGAAGAGCAGACCCTGAGCTGAGCTTGCCCCCTGGGAACTGCCAATCCCCACACCCCCAATTCCCAAGGGGTTGGAAAAGCTGGGCCCAAAGCACAGAGGGCCTGTAATCACCATTGAGGCTGCACTGCTCAGTCTGGTTTCAACAAGCAACAGACTACCAATCCACCTGCCCCTTGGGATCTGGGAGTGACGTGTCTGCACAGTAATGATCAGCCACCAGCATGGTTTGGGAAGGACTGGCTCTCCCAGTAGGTCTAAGCAGACAGGGATCCTTTGGCCCAATGGTACCCAGCCTTGTGAGAGTGGAATCTCCCAGGGCAGCGCTCTCAGGCTCTGTAAGAGTTCAGCTCATGGAGGTGAGGGCCATAGGGGGTGGGATGGGAGCGTCTGGAAGGGAGAGACAGCTGAGACAGGTTTTGAGCACCTGAAATTAACTCAAGTCACACAGTAGTTTGACAATGGACAAACCCGAATCCTTCCCACCCCACAAAATACAGCATCATGCTGCATCCCCAGCCCCGTTCTCACCAGCTCCCCCTCAGGACCACCAAAATCCAAGTAGAGGTTCCTGATGCCATCATCTGCAGAAACTCTGAGCTTCTCAAAGGGGTAGAGGAACAGGGTGTGGGTGGAGCATGCTTCCTCCCTGGAGAGTGTGAATCCATTTTCATAATGGACTGTGAGCTTCACCTCCTGGCCATTCAATGTGCAGCCTGCACATAAACAGAGCACAGAACTTCAGGAGCAGCCAGCCAGCTCAGAGAACATGCCCCCAAGCCTTTCCCCACCACTGCAAAGACAGAGCCCGCAACCGCTGCACTGGACACTGTGTCCCAACATTAAGAACATAAGAACGGCCATACTGGGTCAGACCAAAGGTCTATCTAGCCCAGTACCCTGTCTTCCAACAGTGGCCAATGCCAGGTGCCCCAGAGGAACAGGTAATCATCAAGTGATCTATCCACTGTCGTCCATTCCCCGCTTCTGGCAAACAGAGGCAAGGGACAACCTCCCTGCCCATCCTGGCTAATAGCCATTGATGGATCTATCCTACATGAACTTATCTAGTTCTTTTTTGAACCCTGTTATAGTCTTGGCCTTCACAACATCCTCTGGAAAGGAGTTCCACAGGCTGACTCTGTGTTGTGTGAAAAAAATACTTCCTTCTGTTTGTTTTAAACCTGCTGCCTATTAATTTAATTTGGTGACCCCTAGTTCATGTATTATGAGAAGGAGTAAACAACACTTCCTTATTCACTTTCTCCAGGCATGATTTTATAGACCTCGATCATATTCCCCCTTAGTCATCTTTTTTCCAAGCTGAAAAGTCCCAGTCTTATTAATCTCTCCTCATTTTGTATGCATAGTTGGGATTATGTTTTCCAATGTGCATTACTTTGCATTTATCAACATAGAATTTCATCAGCCATTTTGTTGCCCAGTCACCCAGTTTTGAGAGATCCTTCTGTAGCTCTTCGCAGTCTGCCTGGGACTTATCTTGAGTAGTTTTGTACCATCTGCAAATTTTGCCACCTCACTGTTTACCCCTTTTTCCAGATCATTTATGAATACGTTAAATAGGACTGGGCCCCAATATAGAACCCTGGGGGACATCACTATTTCCCTCTCTCCATTCTGAAAACTGACCATTCATTCCTACCCTTTGTTTCTTATCTTTTAACCAGTTACCAATCCATTAAAGGACCTTCCCTCTTATCCCATGACAGCTTACTTTGCTTAAGAGCCTTTGGTGAGGGACCTTGACTATAGCTTTCTGAAAATCTAAATATACTATATCCACTGGATCACCCTTATCTACATGCTTGTTGACTCCCCCCTCAGAGAATTCTAGTAGGCTGGTGAGGCATGATTTCCCTTTACAAAAACCATGTTGACTCTTCCCCCAACAAATTACGTTCATCTATGTGTCTGACAATTTTGTTCTTTACTATAGTTTCAACCAGTTTGCCCAGTACTGAAGTCAGGCTTATTGGCCTGTAGTTGCTGGGGTAATCTCTGGAGCCCTTTTTAAAAATTGGCATCACATTATCTATCCTCCAGTCATTTGGTACAGAAGCTAATTTCAATGAGAGGTTACCAACTACAGTTAGTTCTGCAATTTCACATTTGAGTTCCTTCAGAACTCTTGGGTGAATACCATCTGGTCCTGGTGACTTATTACTGTTTAGCTGATCAAGTGGAAATTCTTCACCTTCACTACACAATTGTGCACCTAGCCTACAAAAGCATCACCAAGGGACACCAGGGTGTTTCCTAACTCCTGGGATGAGACTGGCAGTCCCCTTTGCGGAGCCAGGAGCTGGGAAATTCACCATGCTGCCGACTGCTCAGAGAGCACACAAATGGAACCACTGCATAGAAAAAGGGAAGAGACTGGGGACCAGGCGGGGTTGAATGGACAAGTCTCTGGGACAGGGATGATGTTGCCTGGTACAGCTAAAAACCAGGAGCAGAGACTGGTAGATGTCACCAAGGGAAGAAATACCTCTGGAAAGTTAAAGCAGCAGCATGGTGATGACACTAGCAGAGGAAGCATCTCAGAAAAGCAGAAAGCCTGGGATCTCAATCATGTAACTAGATGGGTGCATGAAGACTAATGTCCTGCTGGAGACTGGGATGGTTTGTCTGTCAGAGCCACTCTGGCTGTGTCCTGGGACAGCTCAACCTGGAACTTCCTTGAGGCACCAGCATGACACAGGATCTGCGCCCAGGAAGAGCAGGATTGCTCAGTTTGTGCCTTCACAGCCCGGCAGCGAGAGGGGCGGGGAACATAGGATGAACTAACTCACCAAGAATGCACAGGGCGGTGGCTTAGCCTGTCAGTCTAGGCCTGTGACGAAGTGGGACTGTTCTTAATGTTTCCTCTGAATAGTGTGGGGGTGCCTCAGTTTCCCCTAGGCAGTTCTTAAGTATCTAGGGGGTGGAGTAAGGGTGTATGATCATTGCAGAGCCCTAGAGGGCAGGTGTGTGCAGGGGTCTGGACACAGAGAATGGCCGACACCCTGTTTCCTGGCAACTGATGGCCTGGGCCCTTCCCCCCCTGCAAGGTGAGAGCTGAAGGGTTGGAGAACAAAGGAATCAGGTGACCTCCTGGCCCGGGAAAGGAACAAAGCCCAGAGGAGGAGGGGCTGGAGGGGGTTTTCAGTTTGGGGCTGGCTGGGACATGGAGTGAAGTGCAGACGTGGTTGTCTGGCTCACTACCCCCCAAAATGGACCCAGCTGAGGGGTCCCGTTCTCTGCACCTGCAAGCTCTGTTTTAGACCATGTTCCTGTCGTCTAATAAACCTTCTGTTTTACTGGCTGGCTGAGAGTCCCGTCTGACTGCGAAGTTGGGGGGCAGGACCCTCTGGCTTCCCCAGGAGCCCCGCCTGAGCAGACTCGCTGGGGGGAAGCGCACGGAGGGGCAGAGGATGCTGAATGCTCCGAGGTCAGACCCAGGAAGGTGGAAGCTGTGTGAGCTGTGTGTCCTGAAGACAGGCTGCTCACAGAAAGGCGACTGCCCCAGAGTCCTGACTGGCTTCATGGGGAGCAGTTCCAGAGCATCGCCCGGGGACTCCGTGACAAGGCCTGCCTTCCGCTCTCCAGTCCCTTTCAGAAACCCATCTCATCCAATACTTAAACATGAAAAGAGAGCTCTCTGGGGTTTCTCTGCTCACTGTGGACACAAAGAGCTCACAGTAATGATCAGGGATCAGAGACACCATTAACCTATTCTGAACTCTCCTATCAAGGGGAACCTCCAAAGGACAAGATGTAGGTTTGGGATGTATAAAGACGCCCTGAAAGCATTTTTAAAAGTTGTTTTTTTCTGCTGGTCTTTTACTGTTAGTCATGCTAGTGTGGCTCTCCAATCTTTGCTGGAGGACTCCTGATAGAATGTGAGCCTTTCTCAGGCCCTAATGTTAGAGCGGGACCTGACTTCACAAAACCGCTTTTCTCCCAACTATCTGCAGGCCTTTGCGTTAACAAATAAAACTAACAGTTTCGATAAAAATCTATTCTCCTTGCAGCAATTAAGCTGCTATTGCAGCAGGATGAAAGCTGGCCTGCCACCTCATTTTAGTGCTTCCCAGTAAGATGATCGTGGCAAGCAAGAGGCTCAGCAAAGGGACCAGGGCCAAGATGCTGCGGAACCTGCTGGCTCGTCAGCAAATTTCCCAGAGGACCATAAGCACTGCTTCACGCAGACAAGTTGCGAACACAGTTCCAGAGAAGCAGAAGCTTTTTCAGGAGGATAATGGAATGCCAGTGCATCTTAAGGGTGGACTAGCAGATGGTTTGCTGTATAGAACCGCCATGGCTCTAACGGTTTTTGGAACATGCTACGCTGTTTGAAGCTGCAATGCCCAAGACAGTGAAATGATTCCAGTTTACAAGATGCCTCCTTAATTAACATCTCTTTATCCAATTTCACGTAATTCTTCGGGGATCTTGCTTGTCCTTTTCATAAACGGTTGATTTCATGTTTGGGATCAATATTTACTCTCACATGTTAACAGCAACCAATAACGCAGTTTTTACATGAAAAAAACAAGACAAAAACCACAACAATTAAAGCCTTCAAAAGGTGGAAGGACTTGTAGAATGTGTGCTATTCTCTTCAGAACACTAGAGGGAGCTTTTAAGCCATAGGTAACAACAGACCCAACCCCCCCTCTCCTCAGCCTAGAACTTCGTTTTTGGCTGTTTCCATCTCTCTGCTGTTGAGCCCTCTCCTGGCCCCAAGCTGGAAGACTCCAGCTAGCAAGGCTGAAACTAGCTTTTCTAGGTGCACAGGGGCTCAGGACTTCAGCAGAATGACTCTGCAGGGACATGCCAATTCACACCCGCACTGGCTGGACTGATTTCCTGCGCCCAGGGCCGTACTGCCCAGCTCCTCTCTGTTCTCAAATTTATAGGCAGCCTCAAGTGTTCAGAATACAGGAACAAAGCTGGCTTTCCCAGTGCTCAGCTCCAGCTGCATGCCAGAAGCATGTCTCAGAATCACAGATTCTGCCAATCACACTGTAGTCACGGCACCTCCGGATATTAATGACGTTGTCCTTACGCTGGGGAGATGGACTAATGGCCAGCATCCAGACGGATAAAACTTTCCACTCAGGCTTGTCTGCCTATCAAGAGAGCCACACATTCCATATAACTCAGGAAACCAGCACACACCTGGAAGTGCTGAGGCAATGAAGGTGTGTTGTGCACCACCAGGGGCTGAGAGATAATTGGCTTCCTTTCGATTAGGCTGCTCCACCAACCAATTAGGTGCGAACTTTAATCAACCTTCCAGTTTCACTGCACTATCACCATCACCTCCCACTAGCCTCAGCTCCAGTGGGACACTGGCCATCTCTGAGCACATGAAAGCACTCGGATCTTCCTACGGAAAGAAGTAGAGAAGGGCAAGGGATTCGCTCCGACAGTACCTGGGCTTTGTTAGAGACTAGCAAGAGTCCCTCAGTTATAGCAGAGAACATCTCTCACCCAAGACCCAGAGCTCGGTGGGGCCACGTGGCCCCACCATGACCTCCTGTGTCACTATCTCCACCAGAAGCGCAGTCAGCGAGCTGAGACTCCAGGCATGCCGTTTAGCCTGAATAGGCTGGGCACCTCAGTGTTAAGTTTCCTACACTTACTTTTCTTGGGTCCCTCTGAGTCTTAATTCCAAACCATGTCCCACAGCTCTCTCTTGCATGTTTGTGAATGCTAAGCGGCCCCCTATCCACGCCCTCACAGGTCTGACTCTGCTCAGCTAGGGAGAGCTGCTGGGACTCCAGCCCAGAGGGTAGGTGATCAACTGATTTCTTGGCAGTTGAGCAACTCAGGAGGGAGAAGTGGGGTTCCAGACAGATAGTAACTGCTCCCCGAAACAAGATACCAGCCAGCATACCTAAGGACACCTCCTTTATCAGCTCCGCAGCAGCATGGCAGCCCTGAACTAGCATCCTGGTCCAGGAGGAGAGGTCCCGATGCGTCTCCACCCTGAAAACGTGCATTTCAATGCCCTGGCGAGAGCCTGTCCTTGTTGCAAAGGTGAGCTCGGATCCCGGAGGTGATCTGCGTCCGGAGCCAGAGTGAACCAGCCTGCGGATCACATGGGAGAGCAAGAGGGACGTTACTCAGAGAAGAGGGACACCAGTGTGACTGCACAGTGGCCAGGGAGACATCGTGCAGGGATACTGCTGCTTCCCATCGTGGCAGGGAGCAAGCTGTGCTTCATTAATGACCCTCCATCACAGGGCAGGGAGGGAGATCTCCGTGGGAGGTGGCTGCTTTTGTTCATTCATACAGATTTATTGGCTGATGCGTGGCCGAACTGAGACTTATGCTGCTCCTAACCCACTGTTTGAGCCAACTTGCTCCTGGACAGTGACCTGGGGAAGCCACATGCATGGGTCACACAACACTCGCCTTTCCACGATGCACACATCCAACATCCAGTCATGCGTCACGGGTGAAAAACCGAGCACCAACCAGCAGCCACTCCCAGCTTGATCCCTTGCCGCCTCCCATCACACACAGCCTCCTCTCTGTCGATGTACCGAGGGGCGCCTCAGAAATCTGTCCACCAGAGAGGCAGCCAGGCAGTAATGGAGAAGGTCAGAGCACACTAGGGAGACGCTGCTCCCAGACTGAGTGAGGCACATTAGACAGCCGAGGACTGAATTCTCTGTTTAGGAGGCAGTGCCCAGGGGAGGAGGGCAGTAACACAATTAACACGCTATTTAAACTGCCCTCCCCTTACATGAGCAGCAGGCTGGCAAAGGCACACTCCTTAGTGCTTAGGGCTGGGGGTTCTCTGGGCAGATGCACTCTAGAGATGCAGCTAGCTCCCCTCCGTCCTCCCAGCTGGTGCAGCCAAGGGCTGCCTGGAACCAGCCCTGTGGAGGTGACAGGTGACAAACTGAGCAGCGACATGGGACAATGGGCAAGACGCCCTGCATCTGCAGATGCCAAGCAGGGATCAGCCTGTTCCAGGAGGCCTCAAGCCAGATGTTACAGAAACGCTCAGACTAGAGGAATGTTTCCTCCTATGGTTCTGGCTGCCGAAGGCTTGGCAGGGAACATGAACTGATCCAGCGGCAGGAGCTGCACATGCCCCTATGGGTGTCACCGGGAGGCTTGAGCAAGGGATATGAACATGGCACCATGGAGCCTGCTCAGGCAGGCGGAACCTTTTCTCTGGCAGCATGACAGCACCTCCAGCTCCCAGCAAGGCTGGACTCAGGCTGCTAGCAAAGTAGCACAGCCAGGACGACTCACAGGGAGACGGGGCTAGAAATGAAAAGGTAAGTAGCCAAGAGCCCCCTTCCAGCACTCAAGAAGCCCAACACAAGATGCAGGCAGACATCTCACCATGCCGAGAGCCTGCAGCCCCTCCCACGTCAGGGGACCCCTGCTCTGATCACAGCAGCTGCACTCCCTGCTCCAACAATAACAACACACTCTTGTTTTGGAGGCTGTAAAGGCTATCTAAAATACAGGCTTGTCAGCACACCATGCCCCACTCCCTTTCACTTGTGGGACTGGCAACAAGAGTGGGCCTGGGAGGAGAACGCATATGCATCCTGCCCCATAGCTTATCATGGAAGGAGTTAACAGGGGAGTAATGACACCGAGGTCTCCAGATAGAAGGCTAAAGCTTGGCTTGGACTCCAGAGCCCACACCACCACCACCCTCTCCCGCAGCCCAGTGAAACTGAGTGAGGGTGGGGGAAAGCAAGCAACGAAGGGAGGAGGGATGGAGTGAGCAGGGTGGGGCCCCGGAGCGGGGCAAGGGTGTTTGGGTTTGTGTGGTTAGACAGTTGGCAACCCTAGCCCCAGCAGCCAGGTGAGGAGCTGTTGAGAGGCCTATCAGCAGCACACAAGGAAGGACCCAAGCCATGTTATTCCAGTTAATGCCCTGGCTGGAGCTGTGGGCTGAGGCAGCTGTGGTTTAGTGGACTGAAGACTGGGCAGAGGCCAGAGGTCTGATCCTGGCAGTCAGACTCACTGCATGACACTGGGGAAGTCACGTCCCAACTCTGGGCCTCAATTTCCCCTGAAAAGCTGCAGCTTTACAAAGCGCTTGGAGCCTGGTGGGTGAAAAGCGCTAAGTGGGAAAGGCTTTCACTGTACGGGGCAGGGTTTCGTTCATCAAAGAAATGTCCCCCCAGTCAACTTGGAAGCTTTGATCCTACCTGGTAGCAACAAGAGGGTAGCTGTGGCAAGGTGATGCCCATGCGTCTCTTGTCCAGGGCATGCAATCATAGAGCAGCAAGTCCTTCTCCGTCATAGCCATGAGGATGGGCCGCCACTGCTGCCTTCCTCCATCTAGTCTAGCCTGCAAGAAGTCAAGAGAGCTGTTAACATGCAGTCCAGGAAGCAGTGAGTGCTGCCATAGGGGGCATCCCTATGGCATCCTCATTTGGGAGTATCTAAGATCTGCAGTTTGGGGCCAAAGGACATTCCTGATTAGTGCATCTGTTAAAGAATTTACAATGTGCCAGTGGCAGAGGGGAGAGGAGCCTGAGTAACAGAGCAGACAGGGCGATGCAGACTAAGGAAGGGAGTAGTGAACTGGGTTTGGAGTTTTTCTACTCTCAGTTCCTGCCTCTCTCTCTCCCTCCCTCCAAGCAGCAGAGCCCAGCACCTTCCCCTCTCCGTGGGGCACACTGGGTTCAGGCAATGTGTTGTAGTGCTCTTGGCTGACCCCATGTGGAATCAATCCAGGACACTTGTACTCGCCTCCCTCCCTGGGTGAGGCGATCTGCTCAGAGAGATCAACAGCACTAGGGTGAAAAATAAGCTGGAAAACTAATGAGAGTGGATTTCCCTTCATGCCCAGAGCCAAGCCCTGTCTGAAGCAAGCAGCATGCTGTTCCGCCGTACTAATAACCTGCGCCGTACTAATAACTAATAACCGTACTTGCACCCTAAGGAGCAGGCACCAAAGAGTCTAATCTGACCCTGGGTCAAGTGGGCTCTTTATTACTATGCTGTGGGAATGTATTAACTCGTCATCTGAGGAATGCCAGCAAGGCACTAATGGGCCCAGTCACCCGGGAGATCCCATGCCAAGGACAACTGCAGTCCAGCTCTTATCAGGCCAAGAAAACACTTACGAGGTCAAGGATAAACTACAACTTTGGGATCAGCAAATTCACATAAGGGCAAGTCTGGGACTATAGTTCTAACTCCTCGGTGACTGGGCAAATCCCATGGTCGAGGGCTCATGCTGCGTGGGCATCAGACTGACACTCAGAACCTGCCACGCACATCCCTGCCTGGGGACACTGCTAGATGCTGTCAGTCAGTCCCGATCACACAGCAACTGGGAGAGCCCAGGCCTATCAGTGGGATTCACCACCCTAGCAGAAAGCCACGCAGGGTAAGTGCTGGCTTCCTCTCACTCAGACTATGCCCCATCACATGGGGGCAGGGAACAGGACAGGAGCACAGCCCAGAAGGGTATAAGCCCAGCTTGCTGTGAACCTGGCCAGCCCTCTCTAGGCTCCTGGGGTGGAACGCAAAGTGCTTCACAAATGCTTCTGGAGGCACAGACTCCTCTGCTAAAGCCATCCCAACGTTCCAGGCATGGGGACCACAGGCAGCCACAGTGACTCCTGCAGCAGCGGGACAGTGGAGCACAATGGACCCTGACCTGATGTTACAACTAATTCCTTGTTGTCACAGCAACACTTCAAAGGACACAGTCCCACTGGCCTGTGGGGATCATCCCACTGGAATCGTGCTCTGCCCCGTGTGGAGATAGGCCTACCTTCCTTTAGCTGTTAAAACGCTCACCTGCCTGAATACCTTGAGGGAGACTGTTCCCATTGCTGGGTTTTCTGCACTGTTGCACAACATACAGCCCTTTAACTCTGCAAGGTTGTGGTTTTCATACTGCACACAGGAGGAGTGCATTGCTTTATAATATTTACAATAGAAATTAACCTTTGCAAACCCTTGAAGTTAGGTCAACATGACTCCTATGTTAGACTGGGAAGTGGAGGCAGAGTGTGACTGACTTGCCCAAAGCCATAGTCTGTGACAGACCCCGGAACAGATTCCAGACCTAACTCTTGGTCATGTGCTTTAGCCACTAGCCCACACATCCAACAGCTGACATCAAGTGACTGGCTTAAATACACAGGACATTCCACCCCCACAGACACACCTTTGTCTCCTCGTATCTGCAGGAACAAAGGCTCCAGGCCACTCTGAAGAGGATCTAGGAAGCTTGGAGCTGGTTTAACATCTTTAACTGGAAACTGAACACAGCCCCGGGAAGGCTCAGTGAAATGTGAGGGAGTGTCATGTTCACATTGGTTCTCTCACATAGCCTTGCCTACATTAGTTTCAGGGCCCAATTGCACAGCAACGTAGCTGGGAGCCCAGCTGAGCATCAGGTACAGGACCTCAGGAAAAGTCCATGGACTTCACAAGACTGCTGGGTCAGAGATTTTCATTGAACCCAAACTGTCCCTCCCACGGGCCTGTGAGGAATGACCTCTGCTTTACCAGGTCTTCCTACTCACAACAATGCTTTGCTTTGCATAGCATCTTGTACCCAAGGATCTCAAAGCACTTCAGTATAAGCAAGTTACTTTCCCTAGCTCCAAGGAGGGTTCTCAACCACATTACTAGATGGGCAGGGTGGTTGATTTGCCACAGCCACGTGACTCAGTGACAGGACTGTGCACAGGCCCTGGGTCTCTGCTTTAACCATTCTTCATCCCCATCAAGATTATGGCATTGCCAACCCTTTCCTGCCAGTCTGGTTACCCAAGGGGTGCATGCACAATGGTGCACAGATAGCCAAGCATCAGAAGCTAGGGAGTTTTGCTAACCTAGGGTCAAGTGTGAAACTGGCACGTGGAACATGAACTCCCACCCAGAAAGGAGGTGTTTTATTGCACACAGAGGCCAGTAAGACAACTGCATACGCCTAGCGCCTTTAAATAAAGGGGAAGAACATCAGGTGAGGTTTTGACCAAAGGGGAAATGAATTATTGAGGGAAGGAGAGAGGACAGACACTCAGATGAGAAACCCTGGAGCCCTGTGTGCATGCAAAGCTGCTGACTGAAGCACCATCCTAGTGCTGCTAGGAACGAGCTCAGGCTTCTGAGAGTCAGAACAGACAAACCCTGCACACAACAGGGATGGGAAGCCTGTGAGGAGGTTACAGCCCCGTCTACAACAGGCAAACACTACTACAGCACATGCCCCTGCAGGGTGGGTAGTGGGGCCACACCTCCAGAGGAGAGGAGGGTTACCGGGATGACAGCTGGCTCTGAAACATTAAATGGGTCAGGATGGTTTTAGGTAGAAGTTACATTTCCAAAACTGGATTGGTACAAACCCCTCCCTGGACAGGTCTCTAACACAGCTCCAGCTGCCATTGGATTCCATTACTGAGCTTGCTTCTTGGCTCACAGTAGTAAGTGGAGAAAGGAGAACAGAAAACACACGAGCCACTACCAAAGCGCTGTAATCTCTGCAGTGCTGACCGGTTCCCAGGCCTGCCAATGAAAACGAATCTCTTCACGGCTACACTTTAAGCAGAGTGCTAGACTGCACTGCCACACCTGTAAAAATGAGTTCTACCCAAATAAGGTCAAGACATCGGGGCCCTCCATCGCAGCATACCTGTTCCGCCAGCCAAGCAATGTGCTTGACCTCCTTGCTACTTCCTGTGGCATTGTTGGCACCTAGCATGGCATTGAGTTCGGCCAGCACCTGAGGGAGGAGGGCCAGGATGTTTGTGTGGATGGCCGTGAACCAGGAATGTGCTGTTGCTGTATCTTTGCACCGCAGGACCAGGGTGTTTCTGCTGTCCGGTGAGTGCAACTCTATCAACCTGAATAGAAAGAGAGAGAGCTAGGCTGAGAAGTGCAGCCAGGGCTAAGGCAGAGGGGGAACGCAGAAGCCCTGCAGCAGACATTCCCTACATCAGTGGGGTTTGGCTCCCCAAGAAAAGTACACATGAAACGCTCAAATGAACCCTCAGCCCTTTGGTGTCTGCTAGGGAGAGCCCCTGGCTGGGGTCAGCTACAAGCAGCCCAGGCAGCGCTCACACAGACTTCACCACAGACGGAGCGTAGGGCAAAGTTGGCTCCGTGGCAGGATGGAATTCCAGTGCTGCATGACAGAGCACTGTCTGGAAACTCATCTGTCCAGGTGCTTATGAGACCCACAGCCCTGGAGGCGGTGATGATCCCTGCTCTGCTAGGGCAGGGGGATACCTTGTGAATCATCCTCTCCATCAGATGACTGAAAAGCTGTGCTACTGATTAAAAGATTACAGAGCTTTCTAACCTCAGCTGTCAGGCAACCCTGCCAGGGGCTGATGCAACATCTGAGCGCCCAGGAAGTAAGCGAGCACTCGCCCAGTGCTTGCCGGCTGCTTAGAGAGTTATGGGGGCAGCAAGGGCACCCAGGTTCTGCAGAAACCCTCTTGCAGCAGCTCAGGAGGGGGGGTGCCCAGCCCAGATCCCTACCAAGCTTCTCACCCGATTGCTCAGGCATAGGCTATTAGAGAGACAGAGACCAAAGGACAAGCTGGCATCTCTTCCCTCCAGCAGCCCAACTGGACCTAGGGGGCAATCACCTGGTGACAAGCAGCTACAGGGATGAGATTGTAACCGCAAAACGTCTGAGACTGGCTGTTAAGTGGAGTGGAAGTTGCACAAATGCCACTCAAAGGCAAGCTGCCTACTATCCTCTTAACACAACAGAGAAGCAGACGTGAGACCACAGAACACATAGAAACGAGTCAGTGTGCTTAAAAGTACATTGGGGATGGCTAGCTTGAGACAGGAGCGTTTGCACCGCTCCTCGCGAGAAGCCACCAGCGTGCAAAGTCAGTGCAGAAATCTTGCTGCAGAACTCTGGAGAGGCAGCAGATACAGCATGACAAAAGCCTTTTGCAGCGGCAGCTTATTTCCACCTGGATGAGTGGGGGTTGTGTAATTGGATTTGCATTCTCCAAACACAGGCTACATGCAGTTCTCTCTGATCCCGATGGGAACCCTAGGACAACGCTCTGCCCAACCCACTTGTCTGTGCTGCAGGACCCTAGACAGGGCATTGGTGCTGCCTTTGTCTAGGTCCAGAGCACAGCTGAGACCTCTGGTCATACAGCTCCTCAGCCATCCTCAGAGGCTCACCTCCTTGTCAAGTTCTGGGAGATGGAGGGACTTTGCGCTTGAGTCTAGCTGCAAAATTCTACTTGCCAGTGTGCTGCTTGCCTGGGAACCCGGGGGTACAGACTGGCTTAGTAACCAGCAGCACTACACAGTGAACTGTGAATGGTATCAGGGAGCCCAAGATCTCAGCAAAGATTGCCATGGTGCTAGCCCCTTGTGAACTGCTGCTACTTTTAGTGCTTTCTTGGTACCAGGCTGTAGCTTTTGCGAACGCTCCAGTGCTAGAAATTCAGTCTTGCAAGGACAGAGAAGCAGCACAGCAGATCCAGACACTTGGGGTATACAGACACTGCAATAAAAGTCCTGTGGCACAGCCATGGATGGTCCAGGTCAGCTGACTCGGGCTCGTGGGGCTAAAAATTGCCGTGTAGATGTTTGGGCTCAGGCCTGAGGTTAGGCTCTGAGACCCTCCCACCACATGGGGTCTCAGTGTCTACACAAAAAGAACAAGAGTACTTGTGGCACCTTAGAGACTAACCAATTTATTTGAGCGTAAGCTCTCGTGAGCTCACTTCATCAGATGCTGTAGCTCACAAAAACTTATGCTCAAATAAATTGGTTAGTCTCTAAGGTGCCACAAGTACTCCTTTTCTTTTTGCGAATACAGACTAACATGGCTGCTACTCTGAAAAGTGTCTACACTGCAATTCTTAGTGCCATAGTCTGAGCCCCATGAGCCAGAGTCAATTGCCCCAGGGTCTAGGATTTTGTGCCATGGGTTTTTGATTGAAGCGCAGTGTACCCTTGGACTACGCTCCTCATCCCACACAGAAGCTACAGGGGAGGCATTTCAGCACAGATCATCGAGCCCCGCAGGTCAGCAGTGTGCATGTCTGAGAGCTCACTTGGTTTTCCACAGCTATGCAGACTGGGTTGCTTGCTGGCTCTCCAAGGACAGACAAAGCCATCATGAAGCTCTTGGCCACTGTTATTTACACTGAAACTGCATTCTCTCCCAGCTACAGTATTCCACTCCCATTCTTGGCACTGGTGCCAGTGCCAAGGGGCCTTGGCTAGCTCAGCCCCATGAAAACCCCCCAGCATTAGGGCATGCTGAAAATGCCGAGTCTGCACAAGCACCTATGCTGGCACGAACTCCAGCAGCCCCGGAAAGGGTGGTTCACCTTACACCAGACATGTTAGCCTCGTGAGTGCGTATTGCTCTGTGGAAGCGGGCTCTCTCAGTTGAGAGCAAATACTGTTCCGAGTTCAGGACATACGAGCAGTTAGCTCTTACTCGCCCATGTACATTTCCGGCAATGTAATTCCATAGGCATTCTAAAAAGACGCTATTTTCCTGGCCCCCTGTCATGTTAGTACTGAAGGCATTACGGCTCTTTCACACGCCCACCCACCAACGCAAAAGCGCGCCAAGTTGTGCAGCTTATAGCAAAGGGGCAGAAGACTTGGAAGAGACGGTTTAAGAGGAGTCTGCGAGGGAGATTCTGCCCTGTTCAAAAAGGGATGCGTCAGCCGGAAACCTTAGTCATTCCCATCGTGAACCAACTCTGTGCCAGGACAGAGACTCTGGTGGGGCAAAGGTACCATGTCAAACGATTTCTGGCCAAGATCTTCTCGTGGGAGCACTGCAAAAGGCAGCCTGCATGCTGCAAAACCCTATGGCTTAGCCACAACTGTTCCCAAGTGCTGAGTGGGAGGCAGCCTCCCAGCAGGGGTGTGTGGGGAGCATGGGACGGTGAAGGGACACCACCCTGGAAACTGGTCCTGCAATAAGCGTCAGGCCCAGAGGAGCAGGTAATCAGCCCTGCAGCAGTGTACGTGGGGCAGCGCAATCCCCTGAAGATTCAGAGCTTTCTAGCTATAGCAACTTCCCCATCAGTGAGAGCCTGTCAGCATTTCCCTGGTCCCTAGCACCCAGGGGAGGGCTTTGCATAGGTAATGACAGATACAGCGAGAACAAGGGGAAGTGATTCATGTCATTTCCTCCCTCTAATGACAAACCCAATTCAGAGCACAGCAATGCAACCCCACTCTGCATGGCAGGGCCCAGCCACCTCCTGGGCAAATGGGGAATCAGTTCACATGCTCAGCAACTCGCTGAGAGGAGAAGCAAGTTCCAAGCAGCAAGTTTCCTGCAGCAGAGCCCAGTTTGGGACACCGCTGCTTAGCCAGTACTGCCAACCAATGATGCTCATGTGCCCCGCCTCGAGGCCTGAGCTCGCTCACACAGGCCACGCCAACCTGGCTCCAGAGGCCTCATCCGTTTCTACAGAGTTTAACCTTCCTTTTAACAAAGTCCAGGTGGTTGAGGAAATCCTTCCAAATGCACCCAACACAATCTGCAGGGATGAACCACAGGTCCAAGGGCCAGTTCAACAGGTTAACTCTGAAACCTGATGACAATCCTGTGTATATGCCAGTACTTAACTCTCTTTTAAAACAGGAAGGTGCAGCTGCTTTGGGACCATGGGCTAGGTGTGACATTCCAACTCTGCCCCGGCTGGACCTAGGATACAGCCACTTGTATCCCCACGGGGGGGAGGGATAGCTCAGTGGTTTGAGCACTTGCCTGCTAAACCCAGGGTTGTGAGTTCAATCCTTGAGGGGGCCGTTTAGGGATCTGGGGCAAAAATTGGGGGTTGGTCCTGCTTTGAGCAGGGGTTGGACTAGATGACCTCCTGAGGTCCCTTCCAACCTTGATATTCTATGATTCTATGACAGATACAAAGAAAAGGTGCCAAGAGCAGAGAATGAAAAACACACACAACCAAGATTTCCCGCCCCCACCTGCCCACCCCCACACACAAACGGGATCAATAATAGCATCTAACTGCCCCTGGCCACCACTCACTGGCAGGACTACACACAATACTGCCCCCACCTGACAGGGCAGACAGGCACTACCAGAGCAGGGGAAGGCCTGGGTGAGATTCAGCCCAATCCATCTGAACTCTGTTTTAGAAGAAGGTTGAACTGCCAGCAAGGCAATTCAGATGTGGGGGTTTGCATCCTTCCCTGAGCTGGAGCCTTCTACCCCAGGAGGACAGCAAAATACAAACACTGCCTGTCCCACGCAGCAGCCAGCCAGCTCTCGCTGGGGCTTGGGGGGAGGAGGGGCGCTGAGTGGAGAGACCTGGCTGGCAGCCAAACCACTGAGAATTTCCTGCAAGCTGCAGTTATAATTTGATGAGTGAATCAGGAGACTGGCCTCAGGAGCAGTTATTCCCACCCTAAGTCTCCTCTAGTCCATCTCCTGCTGCTTAGCTGAAGCCTGAGCATCGTCTCCAGAGCCGATCCCAGGCACACAGACCAGCAGAGGAACTGCCATTTCCGCTGGAGTGTGCGTGTGGCACAAGGCCAGGTATCTTCTCCATGGAGAGAGTTCAACACGCAGATTAGCCAAACATCCTGTGGACACCCAGTCAGCTTGCCTGCACCTCCCAAAAGGCACCAGGAGAGGACACTTTGTCTGCCAACCCAGACGCTAAATAAACAGGCGTTATATGTAACCTGGCTGCAAGCAGAGACACAGCTGAACTAGATGCCCGGAAGATGGACCACAATCCTCCTTCTCCAGACTCATCTCTGCTCTGACCGTAGAACGAGTGGCAGCGGGGTCTGCGGCATCTATCTGCACAGACGGCCCCTGTGGCCATGGACCTTGCTGCTCCCCTCACCTTCCTGCCCCGTGTAGGTTAGGTGCTGGGTCATTTAGCTCCACAGGCATCCCTGTGGGTGTACAGCATCTGGCACAAAGGAGCCCTAACTGTGTTCAGGACCCTGGGTGCAAACTAATACAGCCAAAGGAGAAGCCTGGCACTTATACATCACCTTCGACCCAGGCAGAGCAATAAACTTGGGTCATGTGCACTAGTTAAGGCTCCCAACCCCCTCTATGGCAGATAAGGAATAACCACACCCACCTATGAAACAGCTACTTCTGGGGTGGAACGCAGGCTCCACACTGATCGCTTTGGGGCAGGAAGTCAACGCTGCCAGATCCTGCTGAAACTTATGCAAAATAATGACCCCTTTATAACACCTTCCAGCTGAGGAGCTCAGCTCTCCAAAACAAGGCTGGTTAACCCTCACATCACCCTGTGAGCGCAGTATGGTAAGAACTGCCCCAGGGAAGTGACACGCCCGTGCTAGGTCAGAGAACCCTGAGCTGCAGGCAGTGTCAGAACACAGGTCTCCTGACTCTGAGCTCCATCTTCTAGCCAGGCAGGATCAGCCCCGTTGAGGTGAAGTGACTTGGCCGAGACTGAACCAGCGGCAGGGTTACCACCTCGAATGTCAGCAAGCACCAGTCAGGCCACCAGCTACCCAGCTCGCTCAAGCAGTGTCAACCTTTCTTGTAGAAAGCCCCATGGCTGCTGCCACAAGGCCAGCTGCAAGGGCATTCGCACTGCTTGGGGACCCAGCGCACACCTGACTCCCACCTGTTCATCACAGGGATGAGCAGAACAACTCCCCCCAGCTGCCTGAAGGAAAAAACCCATGCCATTGGATCTCGCGCATGTAAGGGGACCTACAAGGGAAGAGAAACATCTGTGCCCTTTCTTGATGTACAGCCAAAGTCTGGTGTGTTTTTCCTGGTTGGTTTTGCATCAGGAATGCAGATGTCTCATATCTGCCTTTGTTTGCTGGAGGATTCAGAACCAATAGATCTAGCAAGACTAGGGTGACCAGACAGCAAGGGTGAAGAAATCAGGACGGGGGTGGGGGTAATAGGCACCTATATAAGGCAAAGCCCCAAATATCGGGACTATCCCTATAAAATCGGGACATCTGGTCACCCTAAACAGGACTTTGGCATCACAAGGGATTGCGGGGGTGGGGGTTTGAAACCCTGTTTGTCTTTGTAAGCACCCATTTAACTCCAGCTCCTATGGGCACCAGGGAGAAAAGCTCTCAAAGACTCAGACACTACTACCCCCATAACTAGGGCCTGGGACACTGGCCTCCCAAGAGCCCTCCAGGAAAACAGACACATGAGGCTCCACATTCCTGACTTCCGAATAGAAGCCAAGCAGAAAAAGCAGCTTTTTCAAAGCCTCCCAGACTCCTTTACACATTACAAAGCAGGAAAAAAGGGATTATTTCTCACCTTGCATGTCCTGCCAGCATGTGTCAGCACTCCTCCCTGCACCCAAAATGCCAGGCAGATCGGCCCAGAGCAGCCTGCTACGCCCCAAGGCCTCTGTCTCCCTAGGCTCCAGCTCACCTGTTCTCCAGATCCGGCATGCTCAAGTTCCTAGCAGCGAAGCACATTTTCAGAGGGATCACCTTCCTGTCTTTGGTGCCACTGTAGTGCTTCGGTGAGCCGGAGTCCTCACTGCCACTCAGGCTCGGTGACTGGGGAGCTGCCCCATCCCACGGGAGGTCTGACACCAGCGATGGCTTCTTAATGTAGGGAGTCACTTCTCGCATGAACTTCACTAAGAACAGGAGGTGGGAGAGGAGAGTGTTAGCACCTGGGCCACCTCAGGAGGGGTGCACAAAACACTGAATGCACCTGCACAGAAAGGTAAGGCAGCACCTGAGGATCTGTGCAGCCCAGGGCAGTGTGCTGACTCCCCCACCAGCAGGGAGCAATGATCTACACTCACTGTGAGGGCAGTGCCTGCCGCGCCGGGGGGGGGGGGGGCACACTAAGCAGGCCTCAGACCATAGTCTACTGTGAGGACCAGAAGTCGGCTGCTAGGGATCTAGCTTAGACTTAGAGTTAGTTGCTCCCACCTTCCAGAGAGGACAGGTGAGTGAACCTGCCCAGCTAGCCCCTCATACGGATGCGTGCAAGCTTTTGCCCCTCTCCTCTGCAGGTTGGGGCAGGGGGCGCGCACTGGGGTGCTCTGGGAATCTGGGGAGAATGGTCTATCTGCATGCCAGCTGCACAAGAAATGGAAGCAGGCCCGTTAGCCCGCTGGAAAATATGACCAGGGCTTTGCAGAGGGAAGGGTTAAGATCAAGCTGTTCCCCTCCCTTCCTATAACCAAGCAGTGGGGATGGGGAGCTGGGGCACGGAAAGTTTACAGCTGCAGAAATTTTGGATAAGTATCTGAACCTCTGGATGTGCTTCCCAAAGCAAATGCAGGCTCTGCAGCGGTGGGGCTGCCAATGACTACACTAGCATTCCCCTTATACCGTGTAGGATACTCTCTGAAACTGGATTCAGCAAATGATACAGCATTTAAACAATGAAGTGGTTTAGATTTTTAAAACCACAGGAAATTCATGGTTCAGGCCAATATGGTCCCCAACTCACTCTGTTGAGGAGGAGAACAGAGTCCAGACAGCTGAATGATGGTTCAGAAAAACTGAGTGACCTGGGAAACGCAGCTCTTTGGTATTTAATTGCTTTGTTTATTTCAGGGATGAGTGTGTCAGAGGCTGGAAGGGGTACTGGATTCTGGGGTTTATTGGATTTTTTAAATAATTTAATTGTTTCTGTCTCAGCAGCTTCCTGGACCCCCGAGAAGCTGCGTGAAGCCACATTTAGTGCACACACCAATTCCTGATATACAACATTCTGGAAAGTTAAGCAGACAGCTGATGTATGCAGTATTTTTGAAGAGGGCTCCAGCTTTGGTGACACAGGGATAGCTGCCGAAAGACATTCTCCTGAATGTGAGGACTTTTTAGTCACTACTTTTTGAGCTTCTAAATTGACTTTTTGTACATCATTGCTGCCGGTGCTGTTCCGGTAAGGACCAAACCCTCTGGCCACATTCTAACCAGAAGTGAATTTTTGTGGCATATGGATTTAGAATGGGACTAGCCTCATGAATGGCTCAGGGCTTGTCTATGTAGGGTGGCCAGATGCCCGGTTTTCAACCAGAAAGTCCAGTCAAAAAGGGGACCTGACAGTGTTCAGTCAGATCTTTTGACCGAACACCCAAAGTCCAGTTACTGCAGGATGGGGAGGCTCTGGGTCATCACCCGCATCAGCCCCTACTCAGCCAGGGCAACCTTCTACCTGCGTTGGGCAGCTGCAGCTCCCAGCCCCGGCTCCGCAGGCAAGTCCCTCCTGACCCAGGTAGGGAGGTGGGAGGGGAAAAAGCAGCAAGCGATGGGGAAGGGGGAGTTGAAGGAGGAAGAAGAGTGGATGGGGGCAGGGGTGGAGCCCCAGGGGAAGATGTGGGGCAGGGGAGGTTTCAGCACTCTGTTGGAGTGTCTAGTTTTTAAATATTACCAAGTTAGCAAACCTATGTCTAGTCTATGAACACAGTTTGTGGCAAGCCAGGGTACAAATGTACCCTGCACTACCCTGCCACGCACTAAAAGTTCCCGAGTGCACTTTGATGTGCCTGCTTTAAAACAGGGTCAATCAAAGTGCACTAGGGAATTCTGAGTGCATTGCAGCAGGGTCCAGATGGACCGTAAGTGCTTGGCAGGCTAGCACAAGTTTGCTTTACACCTGCTTGCCACAAACTAAGCGTTCATATACATACACACAGTTTAAGTGGGGTAGCAGATTGTACTGCACTACATAGACTAATGCAACGATTGATCTGGATTTAGCCACCATACAAGGCAGACTGTTCCATAAAACACAGCACGCTATATAATTAGCTATTCCACAGGTACAACAGACGGTCCCCTCTAGTGCCTCCCCTCCAGATCAGCTAACGCACGGGAAAGAGCAGCACAGACCCACCTTCCCCTCAACTTCAGCATTGCATTTCCATGACTAGGCTCAATGAAGTGGGAAGGCTCTCTCTGCCCCGGCCTTCTGTGCGCTAAGCCACCATCCTGGCTGGGCTGAGTAAGTGCAATGATGGTTATTTATTACAGCCACAAAGCTTTCGTCAGCTGGTTCCCAGAAACCACTAATTTCCTTCTACAACACAATTAGCACTCCATCAATCCTGCATTCATGCTCTTCAATCCTTCAGGAGTGGGTCAGCAATTCCCAGCAGTTCTCAACCAACATCCAATCCAAACTCTGTAAATGCAGCTTCCAGAAGACACCCCAAAGTGGCCTGCATGGGCGTGGACCTTGGGGCAAAATTCCAGTCCCTTCCCAAGCTGACTGTACCTATTTATGTTGCCCTGCTCCAGTTCTCTGGCCATCCCTCCCTTCTCAGCATCAGACTTCAGGCTCAAGCCTGAACAAACCAGTTTCAGGCAGGAGTCTTCTAAACCTGCTCCTTGAGGATGGCCAGCTAACCACCCCCCACCCCTGGCTACGAAGAGCTAAGCCTTGCGGCTTCAGCTGGGATGTGGTCTAATTAAACAGAGGAGCTGACCGAGAGAAGCCCCTGGCACCTGCCCAGAGCACACCAAGATGTAGAATTTGGCTGGACGATCAAAGACTCCACAAAAAACCTTCAAAATCTCAACAGCTTCATTAAGCAGGAAATCTGAATCAAATCCCGTTGGCGTGGGAGCCTGTGCCACCAAGGGCTCAGACAGCTCCGCCAAATCAGCCAATGACCGTGCAGGGGACATGCTCTTTATCCTTTATCCCTGGTCAGAAAGAGGAACTTGCCAAAGCTACTAAAAAGGTGGAAAACAGTGTGCACTATTGTCAGCAAAAAACAGAACGCCCAGAGTTACCACACCGATTAGGGAATTGTTCCACATTGCTGACAGTTGCCTATCCAGTCCAGCTCTTCTCTGCAATGCATTCTGCACCATGTTACAGTGGTGGAAGGTTCTTTCCCTTGCACGTGCTCCCTCTAGAAGAATATTGCACGACTGCCCTAGAGTAATCTCATTACTGATTACAAGACAAGGAGGAAGGGTCTATGATTCCAAGGGCGAGCTGGCTCCAATGGTGCCAACAGCGAACGGCGCAGAGAAGAATGAGGATATAACATGCTGCCCCGCAAAGACTCAGATGTGTGGATTGGGACTTCATTTCTGGGCAATTTGAAGCTTCAGAACAGCCTGAGGCAGAATCTCCACAGCAGGCATAGCCTCCTTTCTCCTTCCGCTCCCAGTCAGACAACTGCACTCGAAGAGCAAGAGGTTAATGGCTGGTTGATTGACATCTGCTGTTTTAGCCCTACTGTAGTGAAACAACAGAGACCCACCATGAGTTGTTCAAAGAGGGAAGGGGAGCAACCAGTCCCTCCTGGTTCAGACTATTACCACTACTAAGGGCAGTGAAGACTTTTCAGACCTGGAGAAACTCCTCCGCATTCAAAACAAGAGCTCTTCATATGAAGTTCAAATGCACAATACCTCCAACCTATGAGTCGTGTCCTTAGAAGGGTGGAGGGACCGGACAGCTCATCTCTAGTTACCGGCAGCACAAGGAACGGAACTAAAGCAGGAAAGAGAATATAAACCAGCACAATGGATGTGACCAAGGGGTCAGCTGCCATCCCATCCTGGATCTCATCTGTAGCCATGACTGCGGAAGGACGACGCTACCCAAGTTTCCAAAGCTTTTGACACTTCACCACTAGCCTAGGATCGGCTGTTCACAGCTGCCAGGATTCTGTCATCTTTGGGGATTTTCTAGCCAAGTTGGCACAGCTCCAAAGGCTTCTCTGGTGTCAGCAGTAGGAAGGAGAAGGGGGAGCCATTTGTACATTTCCCCCTAACCAGATCACCTCCCCACAGAAGACATGACTGAAGTACAGCTGAGAAGGAGCATTTCCACAGTAGGCTAACAGACTCACCACTAGCCTTGCCTACACTAAGGACATTTTGGAAAGATTCCTCAATATTGCTAATGTCAGTCCGGAAGAACCAGTGCTAGCAAATCGGTTAGACTTGCTCCCCACAGGCATGGATGACACAGTGTTGAAAAATGAACTAGCAGCAGGTAGGCTGTCTACATTAGGGTTTCCAATGTCGGTAACTCCAGGGAAGGGGGAAGCAGTGCAAGGGGAAAAAAAATTCACAAGTTTCCTCTAGTGCAGATAAGGCCAGTCTCCTGCCAAACATGTAGGGGGAAAAAGCCCTATGAATGAGGGTGGATTAAAACAGATTTTTTTTTTTTAAAGGATGTATTTAAATTGGATTTTTCTTTGTAAAATAAACCTATTTAAAATTAAATATTAAATCTGAAAATATGACAACCTATATTAAGGCCTCAATTTACTATAATATTTTAAAATGATCTATTTAAAATAATTTAAATAAAAATTCAAGCAGTATATTTGCTATTGAAGTTTTAAAGGAAGTGAAGCCACTGAACAAGGGGAAGTCACTGGCTAAGCACCTGGGACCAGAGCTCGAAAACACTATGCCAACTTTCTGACAGCAGAGTCACTTCTCTAGGAGGTCGGGGGGGGGGGGGGGGGAGAAGGACAGCTCTTTTTCCTTTTCCAATCTTTGAGTACAAATGAGGTTCAAGAGGACAAGATCTAGTTTAAAATTGTTTCTGGTCACCCTGTCCTTTAAAAATCAGCTCAATTCATTATCTACAGATAATACTTCCTTCTCTGTTAGCTTTAAATGCAAAACCTGTTTTGATAAGAAT